TCAAGTAAATCGTGCACCAAAAATTCGTCGTCGTACATATCGTGCACATGGTCGTATTAATCCATATCAAGCATCACCATGTCATATTGAATTAATCTTAAGTGAAAAAGAAACTCTTTTGACACGTACTGGTGGTGCAGTTGAAGATGAACCAGCAGCCAAAAAGAAAGAATCAAAGAAGAAACTTAAACGACAAAAAATGTTAAACCGAGAATAAATCTTTATTATTAAGATTTGCTCAACATCAATACACCATATTCAACAACAACAACAAAAATACGAGAAGAATCCGTTGTTACCTTTGTTTTTGTTTTTAGAAACACTATGTTAAAGTTTCTTTTAATAAAATATAAACATCCAACGATGGATAGAAAAAATAAATATATATATATATAAATATTTTGTTATTTCTTTTTTCTCTCTCTCTTTGATAAGAAGACTAAACATTTTTCGTATACAATCAGTTGTAGATTTGAACTGTAATGTCTGTATTTACTCGAGCGAAAAATGGTTTATTTGGACAAATTAAACCAAAAAATCCACATTCGCTTGAAAATCTTAAGTAAGTTTATTTGACATAAAATCAATATAAATGATTATTGTCATATTTTATTAAGATATTTATATGGTGTTCTAAGTCGAAATCCGACTATATCAGATGCTAATCGAGATTTATTAATTGAAACACTTCGATTTATATCTGAAATTCTCCTTTGGGGTGATCAAAATGATACTTCAGTATTTGAGTAAGTTATTTATATTCATTAAATATAAATCTTTGCTTTCCCAGTACCTATATTGACATTAGGACTTATAACAGAGATACACAAAATCATATTTTTCACTACTTCTCTTATGTATATTAAAGATCTGCCCTTCTCTCTGTTACCAAATTATTTATTAGATTAATGAAGATTGAAATGCTTTTACTCTTTCACCCAAGGCTTCTATTTTTGTTATAATGAACTTTCATAGAAACACAGTGAATAAAAGACAAACTTTATTGAATGAAATATCTTCTAACTTGCTTATCATCATCGCGTGCACTGGTTCTATGAAGAAAAAACAAATTGAATAAAATCTAATGAACAATAGAATAATGTAATTTGCTTTACAGAATATTTTCTAACTGTACTAAACTAATTCCCATCATTATTTATTCTCTCTATTGGATATTTTGTCAATATCAACTTTGTTCATTATATTGTATTTAACTGTCTAATTATTTTTAGTGTTTTTCTCGAACGAGGAATGTTAACATTTTTCTTAAATTATATGCGTCAAAAAAATGGACATTATATTTGTGGTCAAGTGTTACAAACGCTTAATATCCTTTTTGAAAATATTCGTCGTGAAACATCTTTATGTAAGTTTAATTAATTTTCAAAACTAATGAATATTTATTTATTTATTTATTTTAGATTATCTTCTATCGAATAATCATGTTAATAATATAATTGTACATAAATTTGATTTTGCTGATGAAGAAATAATGGCATATTATATATCATTTCTTAAAACACTTTCACTTAAATTAAATACACATCTAATTAATTTCTTTTATAATAAAGTATGATATTAATATTAGATTTTCTATTTTATATGTTTTGCCTTTTTTGCATTTAGACTACTAATGAATTTCCATTATATGTTGAAGCAATAAAATTTTTTAATAATACAGAGTCAATGATTCGTATTGCTGTACGAACATTAACACTTAATGTTTATAAAGGTAGAGATATATTTTTCGAACAGAAGAAAAACATATATTCAATGATTTTTCGTTTTATTTAGTGCCGGATCCAGATATGCATCGTTTTATATTGGATCGTACAGCTACAGAATATTTTTCAAATCTTGTATGGTTTATGCGAAATCATATATTAGATTTTGATACAATGATAAGAAATAATCAAGAGTAAAATTAAAAAAAACGTTAATTTATATTTAGGTTTATTTTATTTAGTATTAATACTCGTGGTAATGTAACAAGTAAACTAGAAGAATATCTTGATGATATACATTATTTACAAGATATATTTTTACTCAATGTCGATAGTCTTAATAATGTTCTTAAAGAACAATTAATGAACAGACTTCTTATACCGGTTTATGTATTTTCATTAATTAAACGTGATAAATTTACTCGAGTAAAAGTAAGTTAAAATTATTCAAAAAAATAAATATTAGTTTTTTTGCATTGATAATGATAAATAAAAAGTGTTTCATATTTGATTGATCTTTCAATGTGTATAATCATACAGACTGTTAATTCAATATTTGAATAGAAATAAAACATCTGTCATACATATAGTAAACATATGTTCTTTCAAGAATGATGGAAGATTATTTATTTATCCTACGATACTTTTATATTTTATTAAGGATCCTCGAACGATGCTTGATCAATCACCGGCTTTATTTCTACTTGCCGAAGTAAGAGTTTAGCTGACTCATAACATATATATAATATTTATGTTTAGATTTTTCTTGTCGTTCGGTATCGACCTGTTATAGAAGAATTAGCAGATATAATTCTATCAGCAGATATTGAAACTGTTGAAGCTGTTCAACGTCGTTATGGCGAACAAGTATAATTTATTTATTTGATTATTTCAATTAATAATTTATTAATTCTAGACGACCTATAGTTCACCACCAGCATCTCTTGAAGTTTGTTTGGCGAAAGTTGAATCAGTTCAGAGTAAAATTAGCTCTGGTAAAAATTTTCATTATTCAATTGTTTTTAATATTGTTAATTTCTTTTTTTTTAAGAAATTTCATTAAATGCTCTTGATATTAATGATAATACATCTCGACAACATCGTGAAAATGATCAGACTCGAACACGTTCTGCATCATCATCTCCTCGACCTTCTACAGATAATCAACGAACAAATGAAACAACTGTTAAACCTACAAGTTTATATGTTTCAAATTGGACTGATGATGAAAAACATAAACGTACTAATGATCGTACGAAATTTAATGAAACTCAATTAGCTGATAGGTAATTTTATCAACAAAAAAAAAGAAACTCTTATTTTTATATAATTTATTTATTGTTTAGGCCGTATTTTGAAGCATTAGTCAAAGCACTTAATTGTGCAGAAAGTGATCAACAATGTTTTTATGCATTAAGTGTACTTCTAACCATGACAATGAATACATGTACAAGATTTAGTTTTGCTTAATTATTTTTATTTATTCATCTTTTTATTTCAGCTGTTGAGAGTGTTATTTTGGAATCCGTTTGTTTAACAGTAAAATGTCCAGTATGTTATTTTCATTGAATATCTATGAAGATTAAATCGTATATTTTAGGATAAAAGTTTCTATAATACAATATTAGTTGATCAACTTTGTGATATTCTTTTCTCAGCAACTAAACAAGGTAAATAAAATATTTTACTTTGATATATGTATATTGTTTGTTTTCTTTAGATTCGAATATTCGTCTTGTTACGCTAAGTTTAGCAATAAGTTTATTAAAAAAACTTGTTTACAATGAAGAAGAAAAAGTTTCGTATATATCAGATCATCATTTAGCACGTATCGAACAAGCCCATGAACAATCAACCGAAGATTTAAGACGACATTATCGAGTATGATTTGATTTTTCATATTTTACGTAGATTATTCTATTTGTATTTAGACACAAGAAATGTTTCTCGATATGTTTGAAGATGAATATCGTCAGATGCAATTAAATCCAATACGATTAGAATATTTATTAAAAGATGCATGTATGTTATATCCACCAACAACAACACCATTAAGTGGAGTTGAATTTATAAAGCGTTTACCATCGGGTGATATTGAACGAGCAAGAAGAGTAAAAATAAACGAATAATATCAGATGTTTTGAAAAATTGAATTTGATTTCTTTCTTTCTAGTCAATTCGAGTATTTTTTCATATTCGAGCTTTGTCGTTTGAATTACGATCGATTACAGACAATGAATTACCATTAACAAAACCTGAAAATTTAGTTAAACAAAATGATGTCCTTGATTTGAGTAAGTTCAAAAAATAGAGTATCAAATATACTATTTTATTTTCTATTTTTAAGATAATAGTGATTTAATTGCATGTACTGTTCATTTGAAAGAAAAGTAAGTGAAATAAATTTACTAACAGTTATACGAGACAAAAAGTTTGAATATGAATATAAGCCAATCTTCCCTCTATTGACATTTACTAGGCATGTAGCGAACCCTAAGATATTGTTTAAAAGATTACACTTTTTCGGTATTAAAAACCCCCGAACCCATAATGTAAACTTGATCAGTTTCACTTGCTTTATCTAAAACTAATGTTGAATCCTATAAAATCTGAAAAAATGTGCGAAGGTTCAGTCAAATTAGTTTTAGATAAAGCAAGTGAAACTGATCGAGTTTACATTATGGGTTCGGAGGTTTTTAATGCCGAAAAAGTGTAATCTTTTAGACAATGACTTAGGGTTCGCTACATGCCTAACATTTACTCATTCTTGGTATAAAAACATTGAGAATAAATCTTAATTTATATTCATATAAAAAATTATATTCAAATTTTTTTGTCTTTTATAATAATTAGAAATAATCTCATTGATATTAATCTTATATTTTATTTTTATAGAAAAGATCGTCGTTTTCTTGTAACTGATCCAATGCAATTTATACTTATTGAACCTGATGTTAAAAGACTTGGCTGGGGTATTGTGAAGTTCTGTGATTTAATGCAAGTTAGTATTTCAAAAAATTATATCTTTCACTAATAAAAAGAAGCTTATTTCTTAAATATTTAAAATACAATCCTCGATCACATTTCTTGTTAAAGTACAAGAGCTATCCTAATCATAAAACTATATTAATTTTCCAATGCTATTTAAAAATGTATATAAATCTTTTTATTATTTTCAAAGGATGTTGAAGTAGCAAATGATAAAGAAGATACACGTTCTCTACATATAACAATTCATAAACCAGTTAGTAATGCTTATGTCAAATCCAATCCACCTATTCTCAATGCAAAATTTACATTTGATGATCATATTCGTTGTATGACAGCTAAACAAAATCTAAGCAAAGGTCGTCTAAGGTACTTTATTAATTTAAAATTTTTAAAATACAATATAATATATATATACTTTTTAGAGCTCGTCAAATAAAACTATCAAAAATAACTTCAATATTAGACATTCCAACGACGACAACGACGACATCAACAACAACAACAGCACCAACTAATCAATTCAATTATTTAACATCTGCAACAACAACCTATTCACAACATCAACTTGGTAAGGATTTTAATTTAATTATAGTTCGAAATTCTCCCGTTGAACAATCATTATTCATTTCTTTTGTTGATAATATTCGTTTAATTTTTGCATAACGTAATTGACTTGGTTCAATGAATGATGGATGAATAGAATAAATTTGTTTATTAAGTAAAGTTGATGATTTTGATTTTGTTAAATTTAATGTTGAACGAGCACGACGATTATATTGACATAGACATTTATGATTTTTACAAGTAAATTTAACATTAAATAATGTTCGATGATGAGGAGAATTTTTATCAAAAGGTATTAATGAATAAGATTTTGTATAATGATAATGATCAATTGTTTTATGTTGATGAATAAAATATATAAGAAATATAAATATAATTAATGCAATAGTAACGAGTATTAACCAAACAATTAATATATGTTTATCAGATGTTCGAAAATATTTTGGTAAAATATTTTTACTTGTATTCAAAAGCCAAAGAAAAAATGGAGAAAGTTTATTTGCTAATGGTCTAGTCACACTTGTTGTTGTTGTCTTTATTGTTGTAAACATAAATGAAGAATTTACTATAATCGATTTTGTTACATTTATTATTGGAAGTGTAATTATTGTATCAATAGATTCTGGATGTGTTGCACTAAAATTGAAACAGATGAGATATTCATTGGATTTATTACTTAAAGTCGATAGACTATTGTATGAAATTGAACGACGTTGTTCAATATGCCAAATAGATATTAATGTAATATTTTTATTTATTTTATTTTTCCAACCATCAATAATCGATGATATAATACAAGTTAAATTTTGTTTTTGATTTCGATTTGTTGTAATTAATATATTCGCTTTTGTTCGAAGAAAACATTGTCGTGCAACATCACTTGCATTTTGATTTTGAAATTCTTTTGGTGTATAACATATTGGTATTGGTTGACTTATTGAAAGTGTCAGAACATTTGTACATGAACAATACCATGAATTTTTATTTAAATTAATAAAATAAAGTGATTGTCGTGGAAAAATATTTGGTAAAATTTGTTTTAAATAATTATTATTCAAATAAAGTTCTTTTAAATAAATTAAATTAATAAATGTTTTTTTCTTAATCAGTATCAGATGATTATAACTTAAATCAAGTTTTATCAACGAAGGAAAATAATATGAAAAACTTTTATTTATAATTCTGATTGAATTATATGATAAATTTAATGTTTTAACACTATATAATATAGGTAATGTCATGGATAATGATCGATTAAAGATAATAGATGATATCGATGTTAGATTAGCATGTATTATTTTTATATGTTCTAAATAATTCCAATGTGTATATTGATCAAGATATAATGTTTTCATTGTACAATTTATTATTGTAAATGATTGTATAATTGAATAGAAACGTTCTTGTGGTTGAAATAAATTTTTTGTTGTATTACATATTATAGATAATTTTTCAATATGTGTACGATCAATTGGTAATGTATTATAACATTGATAACATAAATTTGATGAACATGATAAACAAGATGAATTTAAAGAATAAGTTATTCTATTTACAAAAATCAAAATAAAAATAATTAGAAAGATTTGCATGGATGTTGATTGTTGTATCATCAAATGATTTGCTATGAATGAAAAGCGAACAAGTTATGTCTTTTTTTCTTTCTCTCTCTCTCTTCGTCTCACACCATTAACTATCGATTGATTAATCTGAATAGTATGTATATTTATATATATGTTCATTCATGCACACGCATCTCACGTTTATTATCATTACGTATCATCATTATAAGTGGGACGAGCCAGATGATGTCTTAATAGAATAGAGACAATTAAAAATCGACAAGTGGCGTATGGTAACTGTCATCTTATCGAATAAGTTTTACTATCAATAAAAAACTAAAGTGTACATATCTAATAAATTTAGCCATTAATGATAAGAAGAATGATAGTGTATATTATATATCATATTATAAAAATTTGTCTTTTTTATGTTATAGGATTTTCACAACCAGCATTATCAAATCATCCAGGTAAGAGAAATATATAATTTTTGTTGTAGATTAAATAGTTATCTTAATCCTATTCAGATATGAATCTATTCAACTTTGTAACACCATATGACAGAATAGATTAACGCTGTATTATATAATATATATATTTTTTTCTAATGATTTGTTGACTTTATTATTGCCTATATAAGATTTGTAAAAAAAAAATAAGCAAACCTAATAATTGTCTAGCTTTTCTTTCTAATTAATAAACACGCTGTATTAGTTATTGATTATTAAAAATTTTTATTCAAGGTCGAGCAACATTAGTATCAGGACCAAAACGACAATCAATTAGTCAAGCTGTTTCAATGAACAATCGGTTAATTACATCTAGCACAACAACGGCTTCAACACCATCATTTAGTAATATTGAACATATTCGACGTTATTCATTATCACGTACACATTCTGAACAACCGTCAAATAATGTTAGTGAAGCATCAACGCCGTCTTCATCAAGCCGTCGTACATCAGTATCAGAAACTACTGAAGGACTACGAAGAGGTGTGTAATTTTGTACAAAATATATTTCATTGTCATACGTAAATTTATTTTCATAGAGAGTATAAAATCTAATACAAATATAATTGCACCTAAAAGTTTACGTGAATGGCATGAACAACCAGTAAATCTTAGTGAACAACCACCACTATCTGAAAAAGTCAATGTTCAAATTCTTTCACCAAATAGTGATCGAGTAAATAAATTCGATTTTTTTATTATTGATTTTTTTACATAGTTTATTTTTTAGGCAACTCCTCGTTTTTTTGTTGACAATGATCTTGCTAGTCTTGTTGTACCAAATGGAGAATCGAAATCTGAGGAAAATTCTACAATTGAAAATGAAACAAGAAAAAATTCATTAAACGAAAATGAATAAAGAATTCTTTTAGTTGAATTTTAACCTCTTTTCGTCTATGTCTTTCATAAATAATTAACTGGTGGATTTATTCTAATTATAGTTTCTTTTCTTTTATAAACGGGTATATATGTGTATGATTTTTCCTTCTTTTTTGTATATTTGTTTGTGTATCGATTTAGAGAATGTAAGTGAATTTATCATTATTATTATTCTGTTCGTTATATATATATATATTTATTTTATTTTTTTCTGATGGTTATTTTATTGGATATAAATAAAGAATACAATTAGTTCAAATCGAGGAAAATATACTACTCAACATAAGTTATATGCTGCAAGTTTAATATGTTGTACTACTGCGTTAAAATTTACTCCGGAATTACTCGCTGAAACGCGGAATTTAACGTGGTTCTACACGTTATTTTGTGAGTTTTAACGCGTTAAGTACAGATTGTCGACGCGTTAATCACTGTAGACAAAGTTAACGGAGATAAAAATCGTAAAAATGTACACTTTTTCGAATTTTATTTTCGTTAAAATCTCAAAATTTCTACACGTATTTCTCCGTTTTTTTTGAGTTTTGTCTGTCTGGAAGGCACCTCTACTTGTATCTACTTCAGATATTATCTTTTCTTTACTATTAACAACGAACAAGTAATCATGACTAATGTATGCATTGCAATTTACGTTCGAGAATTATTCTGTTGATTTCAACATTACTGATTAATTAAGTACCAAAATCATGACCAACACTTTTCACCTGATTATTTATTCCTTCATGATCGGTCCCGTCGCATTACACTGATTTCATAGATTTACTATCTCTGTCTTTGTAATCAAAAAATATTCTTTCTCAAATTTAATTTCTAATCTATATCTCAAAGCAAAGTATTCACAGAAATATGGTCATTTCAACTTTAAGTTTGAAGTAATTTTTCAAAATTCATCTTGTCTATATAATACAGAAACAGAAAATAATTTATTTTGTATATAATACATTTTAACACTAAAGATTTAAGTTTAAAATGTCTGTTAATGCATAGTACATCAATTAGAACTTAGACGTTACATTATAAAATATAAATAGATCTAAGAGCTTTTTTAATTCTGTTGTTTGACATAAACACAAATAAACTACTTCCGATCTTAGGTACTATCATACAAAAAAAACTATTAAATACTTACAAGACTTCTTCAAAAGTTATTTTTATGTATATCAGACAGAACAGGAAGCATGATAAAGTTCGGTTTAATTGTACTTCAGTTATTTTTAAACATAATTGATATTTATCTAGGATATGTCTAGCTCTTAGAAAATCTTTTATTTGAACCTTATACATATACGCATTAATTAAATTCGAACAAATAATCTAACAGAATTCTTTATTTTTCTCAAATCTAATATTAGAAGAACAAAAAAACGTTTCCTAATCTGACAATAAATATCTTTTACAAAGTATGAATTCTATCTATTAAAAATTTATACAAATTTTCTTCAAGTTTATAATGTTCAATTGCTGAATTTAATATTTCTTTTATATCTCCATATTGTTTTTCATCCATCATTGTATATTTTTGTTTAATGATTTTATTATTTTCACTTTCATCATCGCTCGATGTTACTGATAAACCACTTTCATTATCATCATTTTCTGTATCACTATTATTATTATTATTATTTAATTGTAATTTTTGTGCACATATATTCATAATACTTTTTTCATTATCATAATCACATGCATAATAAAGATCAAGATAAATTGTACGATTATCTAAATGTTTAGCTAATTGAATAGCTTGAGAATAAAATTTTCCTTTTAATAAATAATAAAAAAATTTCGTTGCTATTTGATTAATAAATGAACGATTACGTAATATACTTGCATCCGATATTGGACGAAGTGGAGAATAAAATGTACGTAAAATTTGTTCTAAATAAAATAATTCATTTGTATTCATACGACGAAATAAATCTTGAGATATATAGGATATTGCTAAACGACAATCATTATCTTGTCTTGTCCAATCAAGACACCATAATAGATCGATAATATACGAATAATTTTGTGTATTTAAATAGAATTTAAATAATGAATGAATATTTTGAAATGGAAAATGAATATCCAACAGTCCAATTGGACCACCTTGAGAAAATTGTAATAGTAAAGTTAGATTTGATGATGTTGAAGTGGCATTTTTTACTACTAATTGATCAATTGATACAAGATATTGATTGAGATTCAATAGATGATTAAAATTCAATTTTTTAAATGATGATAAAACAGGCCAAATTGGATTAAGTGCAATATCATAGAATATTAATGAACCTTGTTCATCAGCTATAGCAAATACTAAATTATCAATAATCCACCATAAACCAGTTAAATTTCTTGTTAATACACATAATTTTGAACGTTGTACATGATTGATTTCATCAATTGAAATTAATGTATTATCAAGTAAACAAAGTATTGTATAACTTGATGAACGAATAACATATAATATAGAAGATGATAATGATGGAATATGAACAAGTCGAAGAGGTACAGAACGAAAATTTTCATAATAATAAATACTTAATTCATACGTACGTTCTAAACCATTCTAAAAGAAAAATTCTTATGTTATAAAGTGTTTAAATAGTTCGTCTTAAATATAAATAGCTAAGACCTAGATTATTCAATGTAATATTATAGTTCTAACAGTCATGTTCGTACTATAAAACAGCATTCGAAGTAAACTGAAGCTACCAACAATGGAAGGAGCTAAGAATCAAATCCTTTTAGTATGCATCAGCGACAGTAGTAAGACGTATAATATATATATGAAACAAAGAACTTCAACGATCGATCCGAAAGTTCGCTTTTTCGAGAATCATACACGATTCTATATGATGAAATTGCTCACTGACCGTATGAGAAGTCAAGCGTGCACCCGACATGAACAAATCTCTAATGTATTTATTCGTCCGGATTCTATTCTAAAGTGATCATATCTGAAAAATTCTATGTCTGGAATATCCTTCGAATAGAGACGTATTGTTAGACAAGCGAGATATTTCATTTCTCAGCAAAATCGCTGATCCACTAGGAATAAACATAATATCTATTCTAACCTAAACTTTTAATACTGATCTGTGTAAATATCATTAAGTAAAACGACGTTTAAGTTTACCTTATCTTGATGTTCATTCATTTCTACTGTTGTTAATCCAGATGGTGTCGACGAACAATAATAAGGATTTGATGTTTCTGTTTGTATTGAATACATTTTTTCTTTGTCTTTATCTTTATCTTTTTCATTTTCGTTTGACGCCAAAAAAATAATTGATAAACAATTAAATCTTGATTTTTTCTTATCACCATCAATTGAATGTCCATTTGTTGATATACCTTCAGCTAACATTGACCACCATACTGTAACTGTATGAGATTCATGATTTATATTAAACCATCGTCGAACAGGTATTGTATTTGAATAAGGTGGTAATTCTTCACTTATTGTTCGAATTGATTCATTAGCTAAATTAAATTTCGAATCAAATGAACGTATAGGTGTATTAAAACGAAATATATCAATTTTTGATAATGTATCATATATAATATAAAATCCAAATGAATTAAGATAGACATCCGATATTGTTGTTGTTATATGAAATTTTTTTGTAAGTGTTGTTTTATCAATTGATATATCTTTTAACATTCGACCTATTTTATCAATAAAAATAAAAACAAATGTCCCATTTGAAAACGCAAGAAAAACAACATCAAAACGTAACCATATTGTTCGAATAATTTTCAGTGTTGATAATAAATTATCTAATTCAATTAATTTATCACGTAAATTATGAAAGATTTTATTTGATATATGAAATGGTAATGAACGTGAAGTAAAATAATCATTATATTCATCATAATATGCCGCTTTTTTTGGTGTTTTATCATTTGTTGATGATGAACTTGATGTATGATTCATAAATGGAAGTATGGAAGTTTTTGTTGGTGGTGGCTTTTGTTGATAACTATGAACACTTATATCACGTTCATGAAGACCAGCATACTTTAATGTCCATAATTGTAGAGAACAAAGTAAGGAACACTCAGAAGACATACTTTAAAGTATAATAATATTTTCTGGAAGAAAAACAATCTAATATAAAGAGAATACAAGAATTTCTACGTGTATTTTGATTTTAGGAAAAAGCATCTTAAAAAATTCTTGATAAAAAATCTAGAGCAAAATATGTTAGTAGACACAAACAAGTCAATGTAGCATTTCTCTCTTCTATTAATAAGTATTACATCGAAAGAGATGATTTGTACAATATTGAATAGAAAATTCCTTGTCGAACAATATACAATCCTTAGTGGAGAACAAATATATACCACAGATGCCTTACGGAGATTATTACTTGAATTGCTGATCGCCATTATTCATCATGGATATCGAACAATTACTTAGATAAATCCCCTATAATGAATTTTGTAATGGAAATCATAAAAATTTAATTTCAATCAAAATATTGAAATATGTTTTTGATTTTAATTACGAATTTCATAAGATACTAAATACAATAAACAGCGACATCTACGATGATTTTAATCGATAAAAATTTTATGTATTGAATCCGACTGTTTTTATTTCATTAAATCATATCTTAATATTGATTATAGAATTAAATTAAGATGAAATAAATCTGAATGGTTAATAGACTATCTATAAAAATTGTCGGATTGGTGCTTTTCTTATATTCATATTCTTAAAAAACAAAACAAAATAAATAAACAAATTGTTTTTTTTCATGTTCTTAAAATAAAATACAAAAAAACCTTTAACTCTTGAATGTAATAAATTTTTCTTTCTCAAATTAATTAATTATTTATATCTATTGATTATATTCCCACACAAATAATGAATCTTTCACTCGATACAATATTAACAAATGCACGTGAACTTGTTTCTCGTTTACGTCGTGACGATGCCACAGCTGATACAGCTGTCAGTCAAGCACAATTTGTTCAAGAACGAATTCTTAGTATGAAACAGGTTCGTAGAAGAAAAATTACTGACAGTTAACAAAACAGTAATATCATATATAGAACATCTGTTTTAAAAATTGTTTTTCTTTGATTTTATATAATATATTTTTTTTCAAGTATGGTGATGATCTTGCAGAATTAAATGATATCAGTGCTCATCGTCCAAAAACAGCTATTCTTTATAATATCCAAAAAGAAAATCGACTTATCAGGTAAATCATATATATAGAGAGAGATGAATAGAATATATGTTTATTTATAAATTAGACAATTACAAAAAGAAAATGAAGAATTAAAACAATTAGTTACTGAACATCGAAGTGTATTGGAAAAAATTATGTATAAATATCGACAAGATGTACAACGACTTATTTTAATGGATAAAGAAGAAACAAAAGCTGTAAATTTATTTAATGCTTCATTAGCACAGGTAATTCATACTGCGATAGCATAAATCATATTTGCCTGTATATAAAAAAACCAGAAAATGATTGATCTGTATAGATGATCGAAGTCGATTAGAAAATGTATTTAAATATTTACTTTTCAATAACATTCATTATAATACGATGAATGAGTTAATATCATATAAAAACTACGTAATTTAGTTGATAATTACCATAATTTTGATGAAGAAAAATATTATGATGATTCTATTTATATAAATGACTGATTTTTAGTGCAGACCGTAAAGAAAATTACGCTATTAAAATATTATTTGAGTTCGTCTTGATATTAATTCATTTGGTTAATTTTCAATAAAGTATGACATGTTGAAGGATGATGTTATTTTGATAATTTATTATAAACTTAGAAAAGAAATGACAGTAATATTACTCGTAAGTCATGCTTCAGGATTTTCCTGTTCAATTAAAATTTGGATATTCTATTTCCTATAAATATTTATTCGAAATATCTTTTGTTTGAAATTGAATTTGAATCTGAATAATATTAATATCATTTCTATTATGTAAGAAATTCATACGACGTAATTTCTTATAAAAAGATTTTTAAAATAATTAAGCTTAAGAGGAGATTTACTATATAAAGATCTACTTAAGAAAGTTTAAATTTATCCGAGAACATGCTTTTATTAGCATTGACTATATTTAGTAAGTGCAAATATTATGTTGTTATTTAGGATATTCAAGATAAATCATCAAAAATTCATGAAATGGCTACAGTAATGCGTCGTGCTATTGATATTGATGATACGAATAGTGCATCACAAGAAGAACGTATAAATGCTTTATTACTTGAAAATCGTGGTTTAAAAGAAATACTTGCTGTACATGAAAATATTCATCGAACCAAGCAAATATCAGAGGTTTGTACTTAGTTTGTCATAAAAAATTTTCTTCTGACTTTTTACATCAATAAATAATTAAGAAATCTATTATGATATTTGTCGCCTATATGAAAATATTTTTTTCTTTTTTCTAAAAAACAAAATATATAATTCAAGTGTCAATTACAAAACCACTTTCACACAAATGTTAGTCAGTCGACAGAAAGCAAAAAGTAATTACTTTGAGAGAGAATATAAAAAAGTTTATCCTTACATTCATAGTTTGTTATTGACTTAGTCAATATATATTTTGATTTATTTATTTTAGAAAAATAAAAGTTAATATTGTTTTAGATTATTAAGAGATTTCTATTTTTATTCTAAAACCAATTAAGTTTCTAATGATTTGTTTGAGTTAATAGATCAAACATTTTTCGAGTTCTCTCTTTTTTCTTTTTTAATTATTTTTAGTTCCAGTAATAACATCGAATTTCTTTTGTTACCTTATAATGAGAAAACATATACGTCATTCGAAAGAAAATAGTATATTTGTTTAGGTGCAAACAGACTTTGATGTTTTTAAAAGAACGTTCTATACAAAATCAAAGTTTAGACGGTGCAAATATAATGTAGTTCTTTTCTATACAGACTTTGCCCGCATTTTATTGTATTGCATACTAAGTGATTTATTATCTAAATGTTTTTGTTTTGTATAACTTTGACACGTAATCAAACATTTTTAACTCTTACAATCAGTCATAGTTCAAAATGCATAAAAAAAATAATAATTAGAGAAATTCATTTGTCTGTAACTATAATAAATGAATCCTTTGAAATATTATAATAGATGAAGTTCTTTCGGATTACTCTAATAGTATTTTATTATTCTTTTTGTTGTTGTTGTTATTATTGAAAGCTCGTCGCAATACGAAATAGATTCTGTTGTTATTGAGTTCAGCCAGTATAGAAAGAAAAGAAAGAAAGAAAGAGTAACAAACATAAGACTAAAGAACTAACTAAGCTTTGCAATATTATCTAAAATATTCATGATCTTATACAAAGAGTTTTGTTTTTCAATGATCATATTTCTTTTTTAAAAAAGTTTTTTTTTTCTTTTTAATATGAAGTGATAGACAGAAATAAACGTCATTAGTAATGTTCATGAATCTAAATATAGTATCATATTTAATTAACATTAATAAAATGAATATTAATAACGATGCTTTCATCAGACCTTTGATTTTTTTTGTCTAGAACTTTGAAGTAAACACGGAATACTCTAGTATTTTTTCAAGCATATAAAAAATAAGATGATAGGTTAAACTATTTATAGAATTTTAGCTGAAAGATAATTACTGATTGAAAGATAAAGAATGTTTTTGTAAATCTTGAATAGTCATTGAGTTATTTATATTAGATGTTTACGTGCTCTTTTTTGAAATTAAAATGAAAGAAAAGTTCTCATTACTTTTTGAAGTATTTCCTCATCTCTTATTCATAGTTGTTACTCATTATAAAAAAAATGTATATATATATTTATGTTTGTTTTAGTCTACGGCTGATAAACCGACAGTTTTACAAACGACAAATGTAATATTACAAACAAATCTTTCTTCGTCCCCTACTTCTTCTTCTTCTTCTTCACCTCCTCCGCCTGTTATTTCTGATCTAACTACTACTACTACTACTGTTCCTTCTTCTTCTTCTCCTGACCAGGATAATTCTTCCTGATATTAAAACTATTATTATTATTACTATCATTCCAGTTGTACATTCTTTTTTTTTTGTCACTTTATAAATGTTTCATTTTGTTTGTCATTATCCCTCCTAATTTCTATCTAGTCGTGTTTAACGAAAAACAACAAATCAAAAAGTTAATTTCTTCTGTTTATATATATATAAATGTATGTGTAGTAATGTGCTTATTTAATGTAAAGCAAAGAAATGAAGCTTTGTTCCTTTTCTGTTTCTTTAGATTAATATTGTCAAACAAAAATACTATGTGATCAGTGTATTGTTACCATAAACAATGAAAATAGAGTAGTTCTTGTAACATTAAAAATATAGAATATAAGGAGGCAGATGTGATTTTTCTCGTTATATATTCATATGTTTCAATGTTGTTGTTTTGTTGATAGATGAGATTCTATTGATTATCATGATGAATGTTCGATGGAATAATATTCGACTATTGTTGCCTCGGGTAAGATGACTTAATTTATTTCAATTATTTTCTTGTATTTTTCATATTTAGAAGTGATAAGAAAATTTATTTCGATCGAATATGATAACAACAGATTCATCTCCAGACATAAGAATATTCAATTGGCAAGAACAACAACAGGTAAGCATTGAGTGTATTTTGTTTTTTTCTGATGTGTAATTATCTTTTATGTCAATATAATATTTATTTTTGGCTTCGAGATCTATCCATATAGATAGAATATTAGAACAAATAATAGCATTGGTGAATTTTTAGAAGCGTGATGATGATTTGTTCGACCGGATCACTATTTTTCCCGTTATTCTTATTTCAATTAACTATTGCACTCATTTTCTCTCTCTATATGCGTGTTTAAAGCTTCATTCGATCTCATAATCCCATTTCAAGCGTCTTTCTTTTTTTCCGCCCCCTCTCTTTTTTTTCCCCTATCTTCATATATACATTCTGCCTTATTTCTAACAACTACGTCTCAATGAATAAGAGAGTATAACTTGAAAGAATGAAATTCTTTAACAGCATCAGTAACCATAACTAATTTAAATCATCAATGGTGTCAATATGACATTTATTACGCAAAACCAAGTGAGTGTGAACGTTATACGGATGTATCATTACTAGAATTTTTTATAAACCGGAAAGATGTGATGACAATACGTCAATTATAATATGATAGTAACATGTTGACACAATGAAAAGAAAAATAATTACTTTTTTTTTTCTTTCTTTTTTGTTTGTATTAGAAAATTGTAATTGTAATCTAGTTTAATTTTTGTTTTTCTTCTGTCTATAGAGAATTTCTAGTCAATGTAAGTCTTTTAATCATTATTTATATTTTTATCTACTACGACTATAGTAATAATAAATACTTAGCTCCTTATGTTTTTTTTCTTCTTATTCCTCCGCATCTATCTTTTATTGACAACATAGTTGTTCTGGCATGCGTGGGTTCAAATTATTGTTATATTCGATCACATATTTTCTTGGTGAAATGCTTCTTAAATAATAAGTGTATTCTATGCTATTACTGCTATTACTTTCTTCTCTGTCTTCTGTCTAGTTTTTTTGAGTATCTATAGAAAAATAATAATAGAATACGACAATAAGTGTTGTTAATGTGTATGGTTCATTGAAAAAAAAAGAAGGAAAAAAGAAAAAGAAGAAGATGATAAGAAGTTCGACACTCATATCTATCTGCTATATTTTAAAGAGAAAAGATGAGTAGACAGTCTTGTTATTTTGAAAGATAATCTTATGTTAATAGAAAAAAAAATCGTATCTATTCATTAATGACAGCTGTCAACTGTATGCATGTTCAGTGAGGTAGATCATTAGAATACTTAAAAAGATTCATCTTTTTTTGTCTTTCGTTTATAGCCAATTACAGAAAATGATTTTGGCTCTGCTCTATTTTGGACGAAAAATCTTGTGTATTTAGCATTGGGAACTGTTGTATTTACAGCTATTGTTACATTTTTAGCTGTGGTAAGTTACTTATTAATTAAGGACTAATTTTTTTTTATTAAATTAATTTTTAATCAGATATATTGGCGTACGAAACAACAAAAAGTCGCAAAAACTAAATCTCATTCATCTGAATTACCATCATTTTCAACAAATTCAATCAATGTTAAAACACCGAGACCAAAAGAAATAAAATTATTTCCTATTGTACCAAAATTAGTTCAGCCAAGTTCACCAACATTTATTTTACCATCTATTGAAAATAATAAAATTATTAAAGATATATATACAACAGATGCGTATTCAACAGCTGATTCGTCATCGTCATCAGCAGCAGCGAAAAAATTTCGAAAAAAAAATCTACTTGAAAGGTAATTTATTGGACTTTTGTCCTTCGGACTAATGTAGAAAAATATCGTGCGAAGGCGTTTCGATGAGAATCATCGAGCAGCTGCTGAAATAATATGTCGATGAAAAAAAAATATGTCTACGTTATGTGTACAAATCGATAGGTGATGACAGGTAGAAACATGATTGTCTCTTTTGTTCTTAATCATATAATACGTATATACTACCTACTCTTTTTTTTAACCTACGCATACAAATAGAATTATTCACTCATTCTTTAAAAGTTTATGTTTATTACTGAACGCGATGAGAGAAGAAATAAAAGCAAACAATGTACATGTATTTTTTAGAAAAAAAAGAAAGCTTTGAAGAGAGAAACTCAGTCAACATAAGTGATAGAAAATAAAAAAAAGTATATACTTAAATAAAGGAATTAAAAGTAAAGAATATTTTTTTTATGTCACACGTAGGCGTCTTGTTTTTGCCTGTGGGTATTAAAAAAATAGCTTTTAATGGATAGGTTTTTCTATAATTTGCGAATTATTGTTAGTTTTTTCGATAAAAAAATATAAAGTTATGAAGTATAGGTATAAGAATAGAATTTAACGAACTGTTTTTTTTTTAAATCGAGAATGAATCATGAGGGAGAAAAAAAGTTGTAATGACAAAAACAATAATAATAAAAATTTATTTCTCTCTCATCGTTCCACTGACTGCTCATGTAATCATAAGTGATGTGAAAAAGCAGAGAGAAAAAGAAGAAAGAAAACGATAGAATAAAAAAGAAACAAATATGTCACTTTCTTTTTTTCTTGCATTCGCTTTCTTTCATCGCATTAATGAGGGGGTATGTTTAGATTATCATATCTGGAAATCTTTTATTTTTGATCTCGAGTCATATTATTTTCATGAAAGATATGAGTAATTAGAATATTTCAAATATGTCTATGAAAGATGTATTTACACTATATATTAGATGATATTCTAAGATTAAACGAAAAACTACGACAGAAAATAGAACCGACAAATAAGAATATACACATCTATGGAAATCGAATCACCAACTATCTGTTGTGCTTATTGGAGCAAACCAGCATCATTATTATTTAAAAGAAGGTAGGTTATTTTCTTTTTCTGTTATTAAAATTCGAAATAATAATTGAAATCTTTCTACTCGTGATATGTTAGAAGATATGATTTCATCGTCGCTAGACTGTAAAACAATACATTATTAGGAATAACATAGTTGTTTCCTGTAATAAGAGGAAATAAAATCAAATGCGTTTTAATTTTCAATTTACCGCACTATAGAATTCTATGTTTTCATGTATCAAATGTTATAGTGACAAAACCTATTGTATATCATATAAAAATAATTAATTATTCATCTATTTAGGCGAGGTTCGAATAATTCACTAACAATATCAATTACTCCAAAACATCGTCTTATCAGTAGTCCACCAGCTGACTGGTAAATTTTTATATTTTTTCAATTTAGAAAAAAAAACTATTTGAATTTTTTGTTTTTAGCCCGCCTGATGAATATTTATTAACAGCCACACGAAAATTAACTATTGATGAACTTCATAAACATGCACAAGATGCTCGATTACTCTATCATGAATTTTGGGTATATATTTCTAAGAAAAAAAGAAATTGTTTTTTTATTGTCGTTTCGATCTTCCATTTAGACAATTCCAACAAATCATCTAGAAAAACTTCGTATATGTGGTGCTGGTACAAAAAATCGTTATGGTACAATTATTGCTAGTAAGAATATATAAATAAATAAAAAATTTAGATTTATATATATATTTATTAAAGATGAGCATTCTCGAGTGAAGTTACCTGAACTTTCCGGTGATCCACTTTCATCATATATCAATGCAAATTATGTTAATGGATATCCAAATGAATATCAGACATTTATTGCAACACAAGGACCACTTGCCAATACAATTATTGATTTCTATCGAATGATTTGGCAAGAACATGTGCCGGTTATTGTTATGATAACTCGTTTATATGAAAAAAATAAAGTAAAATAAAATTATAGAAGTTGAACTATGTAAAATAAACAAATTAAATTATTTTAGGCAAAATGTGAAAGATATATTCCAGATTCTGGATCTAATCAATATGGACCATTTCAAGTTCATGTTAAATCTGTTTCACATCAATCTGATTATGAAATACGTCGATTGATAATTGAAGTATATATACTAATTTTATTAAAATTGACTTTTATTTTTCTAATACATTATTTTTCATTTTAGTTCGAAAACGAACAACGCGAAGTGGAACATTATTGGTATACAGGTAAATAAAATTGAATATGAAATGTATATATATAATATTATTTTTATTTTTTAATTAGCATGGCCAGATCAATCCTGTCCCGATGTAGCTCAACCATTAATTGAACTAGTGAAAAATGTTGAAAAAACTCGTATAGAATTAACTGATACGAATAAACATTCTGGACCTATCGTTGTTCATTGCAGGTAAATTATTTCTTTTTTGTTTTAAATTTATTTTTAATAAAAATAATTTTATATTATGTCTAATTGAGTCTACTCAATAGATACCAATTAATTATAATGAAAGAAAAAATTAAAGACAAACAAACTTTTCCTTTTTATTATTATTCAGTTCTGTCTATCGATGAATAATTAAACGGTACACCTTATGTGTCTACTGATGAAACTATACTTATCTTTTTCATTTAAATATTCATGGTAATGAAACAAGGTGAGACACGCGTGGGTTGTTACCATTAACAAAAAGACGATGACAGAATTGTTAGCATTATTAGTAATTTTTAATTAGTGAAACGATATCAAAGATCTTGAAATAAAAACTAGATTATTTTCAATGATAATTAACAACAAACTGTTTTCTTTTCTAGTGCTGGTATTGGTCGTACTGGCTGTTTTATTGCATTGAGCAATGGTATAAAGCAACTTGATAAAGAACATACTATTGATATTGTTCGTATACTTTGTGACTTACGTCGAGATCGAGGTGGAATGATTCAAACGAATGATCAATATCAATTTGTTTATCAAGCATTAAGCGAATATGCTAGAACGTTGCAATCTTCATCTTGATGATCTATTTTCTTAGTTTTTTTGTTTGTTCAACATTACTTTCGACTATTTTTTTGTCTTTTTTTTTTCGTTTTTCTTTTTTTTTGGTTGTCGATTGTTAGGTATTCTTAATTTGTCTATCTTACAGATATAAATTTATAGCGGTGTGAGAAAAGACCTATTATAAAATGTTGTTTTATTTTCTTAAATGATCTCTCTCTATATATATGTATGTATGTGTGTGTGTGTGCGTACGTGGTCTATAATACTATTTTGTTTTATTGTTATAACCAAAGAAAATTTGAGCAAAGAGTGTTTTTATTTTAAAAATTTAAACAAAAAAAAAAAAGAAGAAACCCGGTAGTGTGACGATATTTTTCTAAACATTGGTATTGATCTCATCGAATGAACTTGTTTATTTTTTTCCGTGTTTTGGTTAGGGGAATCTTATGTTGTTCTTTTTAACCCATTAACATTACACTGTACAGTCATATGATTTATTGTGTTTTTTGTTTTTCTGAAAAATATAAAATGGATCTATAGAAATGGTTATGTGGAAGAAAAAAAAAATAAAGATCTTAATTTTTCTTCTTTTCATTAGATAATGTCAACCGCGGCTTTACAGTCGAGTAAACGTTCATTAGTTAAATTACGGACATTTACATTACATATTGATTGTGCATATGCATCAAATGATGCATCAATTCGATCATCGCCAAAACAATCATCATCGTCGGTTACATATGTAGGTGATAATTTACCCATTAATATGGGTTTAAATGAAGTTAAATCACTTCGATTAACTGATATGAGACGTGGTGGTGGTGGTCGATCAAGTTTTAGTGGAATTGTAGCAACAGTTTTTGGCGCACAAGGATTTGTTGGCGGTGCAACTGTTAATCGACTTGGTATATTATTAAATTTTACTTTGAAATACTAATTTTTATTCGTTGATTTTTTGTTTAAAGCAAAAGAAGGTTCACAAATAATTGTACCCTATCGTGGTGATGTTTACGGTTTACGAGAACTTCGTGTACTCGGTGATCTTGGTCAAATCCTATTTACAGTAAGTGATAAGAAGCAAAGAATTTGATGCTTGATTAGAATCATATTTCCGATAAAATATAAGATACTTCCTTGAACTTATTATTTAAGAGCATAAAAGGATGATTAATTATTCAAGTATGAATAAAGATAAAGACATAGATAAATGTATAATTAGAATAGAATATTCTATGGATTTATTTTTAGCCTTTTCATGGTAAAGATGAAGCATCGATTCGTCGTGCTTTAGAACATTCAAATGTTGTTATTAATTTAATTGGTCGACAAAGTGAAACTCGGTACAGAATTATTTCTTTAATATTTTATTTTCGAAAATTTTTTATTTTTGTTTTTCCGAATAGAAATTTTTCATACGATGATGTTCATGTTAAAATGTCTCGAACAATAGCTCGATTATCACGTGAATGTGGTGTACAACGTCTCATTCATTTTTCAGCTTTAAATGCTAGTCCAAATCCACCAGCCATTATCTTTCGAAAACCATCAAAATTTCTTACGTCAAAAGTAAATTGAATATCTTATGAAGAAAAATGAATTAATACAATTTGTTTCTTTCTAGTATGCTGGAGAATTAGCTGTTAGAGAAGAATTTCCTGATGCAACAATTTTTCGACCATCAGCTATTTTTGGAAATCAATATAGTGATGGATTTATTGCATATCATTTTTCTAGATGTAAAACAATATTTTAAAACTTTTTCTGTTTATAATATGAATGACTTTATTCTAGGGGTTCGACCATTATCTTATCTTCGTGTTCCACTTTATGCATCAGGAGAAAAAACTGTTAAAGCACCTGTATATGTAAGAAATAAATTATATTGTTGTTTTTTGTAAAATTATTATCAATATTTTAAAGGTTACTGATGTTTCAAATGCAGTTTATGCAGCTGTTCGAGAACCAATGAGTGTTGGACAAACATATGAAATTTATGGGTAAAGATTTAATATAATATTATTTATCTCTATTTATTTATTTATTTAAAGACCTGAACGTTATCAATTACGTGAATTAATCGAATATTGTTTACGATATATGCGTCGAAAAAGTATTATTACACCATTAACACCAGATGTTTTGTAAGTACGATTTTGATACCCTTCAATAAATAAGCTCGTTTTTTTTTAGCGCGAAAGCAATAGCAAATTATACATTTCATAAAAGTCTTTACAATGTCGATCGTATGCAATGCGTAAGAATCCGAAAATTCTTGATTATCTTTATATAAAGTGAATATTTTATTTAGGCTTATGTTTCCGATACATATACACCTGGTTTACCAACAATTCGTGATTTAGGTATTGAACCAACAAAATTTTCGGATGCAATTGGAAATATTATGGCTTCAATGAGAAAAAGCGGTCGATATGTTGAAAATCCGGAAGATTTCATAATACCTGATCCACCAAAACCAGTTTCACAAGAATTCGAACTTTCATATAATGTATCCTATCCTTAGATTTGTTATTATTTTTCTTTTATATTTGAGGTATATCCAAGTCGTAGTTTAAAGACATTTTTTTCATTGTCCTTTCCCATATAAATAAAAGAAAACCTTTTACAACTATTGATATTTGTTTTAAGAATCATACTATACTTGAGAGTGGGTGAGGGTGAAGGTGCCTCATATAAACCCACATCCATAGGCCTTCATGATGATGCGCTGAATAATGACATAATATATACAGCTAGTTTCAATTGGTTATCGTGCATATAATATCTCTATTTCACATATATCGGGTGAACTTTATATCAATGCAGATGTCATTCTTCTGAATATGCACATTCCTGATTTGCTGATTTTATTATGACCTTTATTAGCAAACGTTGTGCTAAAGCTGTCATTGTCTTCAATTTTGTATATTATCTTGTAATCAAATTAAACGTGAACTGTTCAATGGCGAGTATAGAAGATTTATGCGATGAACTTGTAATTATGATTTGGAATAAACTCAATAATCTTGATGTATTCTATTCATTTATGGGTGTCAATAAAAGATTCGACAGATTAGTTCGTGATGTAAGTTATACTCGTTCTATTCAAATTTCTGATAAAGATTCAAACAATAACTATTGTTCACTACCCGATACTTTACTTGATCGGCTTTGTTTTGATGTATTACCACAAATACATGATAATATCGAATGGCTGACACTTGAACCACTTTCTATGGAACGTATTCTTTGTGCTGGTCAATATTCTCATTTATACAAGCTGACTCTTGTCAATTTCGGTCATCAGTCAACAAGACATTATTTTACTAGTAAGACAATATCTTGATGTGATTATCTTTTAGATTTTTTCATGCATCTCTTTCAGATGAATCACCTTTTGCTAACCTTTTCAAACAACGTATAACACATTTAAATGTTTCAATACATTATAAATTAAAATTACTGCTTGTTGATAGCAATGAAAATCTCTATGCATTTATCTCTTCGATATTTACAAATTTAATCGATTTCAATTTTACTTGTCATTGCTTTTGGAGACGATTTCAACATCTAACAATTGATGATTCATGCAATAAGAATTCCTTTTTACAAAATGTTATTAATTTGCGTATCGATGTCGATACATTGGATGATTGTTTGCGTCTTCTTGATGGTCGACTGATTTATTTAAGAAAATTCATCGTTAATATTTATACCATTGAATCTTCAACACTAAATATTGGTAGTAAGGTAAAAATATATGAAAACAATGTTTTGCTTATCTTTTTATTTGAATATTTTTATTGAAGATATTAACTAACCTCCGATATTTCTCATTAACTTCACGTAAATCTACAACAGAATATGAAAATTACATTTTACCACTTCTTCAACGAATGATAAATCTCGAAAATTTGATATTATGCTTGCGTATTAGTTGGAGATCTAAATATATTGATGGTTTTCATTTCAAAAACAAAATCTTTATTCATATGCCACAACTTCGAACATTCGATTTCGAGATAAGCACTTCTGTTCCACGTATTGAAAGGGGAAATCAACTAACAAATCATGAATTGCAAAACACATTTATCGATGAGAGATATAGACAAGTCATATCTTATATCGATGATGATCGAAGAGGAGGCCCTCGATCTCACATCTTCTCTCTCCCATATACGATTGACACATCACTTACACTCTCCAACAACTTTCCAGGAGGTTTACTGTCAAATGTTCGCCATTTATTATTAATGGACCATAGAAATTCATTTGAACATCAGTTTTTCAAGATCATTGCTCAATCTTTTCCATATCTCACCGATTTATCTATTCATAATCACGAACAACAACGACCCAAACGATTAAATGAAGTAGACAAAAATAATCCTCAATTGTCGAGTATTGAATTTTCTCATCTCAACAATCTTAGACTCGGCAGTAGTCATATCGATTATGCGAAAAAATTTTTGGATGAAATGAATACTCGATTACCATGTTTAATTCATTTAGATATATCATACGAAAATTTGGAAAGTGTAACTGAAAATTTTACACGTGATGCAACTCGTCGAAATTGTGCTCAATTAAATCGTATACAATTTCATAAATCAATCGTTCTTTCGGAAAACTTTTATCTATATTTTTCTTCACTTAAATAGATTCCAATTATAATTCTTTCATATTGTTATTGAAATAAAATATTATTTGAAGAAAATAATAGAGAAACAATACGGATTATTAAATAATCTTCAATTATGATACTCAATTATGTTAAACTGAGAAAATCTTTTTATCATTGTCTTAATATCATCGAATTAAGTTAATGTATCTTATCATTCACAAATTAAAATAGAGGTCTTCTATTATGTCCGTAAAAAAAGAATATTTTCTTACTACTCTCGACTATGTGGTTTTTATAAGTCGTTTGTCGTTTAATGTTCTTTATATTGTTTTTAAAGAATTAGTGAACTTTTTGACAATATTACAGTCAAGTAAAATCGATACTATAATAACAGAAAATTTCATAAAACTAGCATTTTAATTAGAAGACTATGTGTTCTTTGTGGAAAATTCTCCGTAAACTAGTGTTGTAAGGAGCATATCTATAAATCGAACATTCGTATTGTACGAAGTTGCATTTTGTTGTCAATAATTGTTAGTTTCTTTGACTAATTTCTGCATTAGTTCGTTGTCAAAAAATGCTCTGAAATAGTCGAATAGTTTGTTTCCCTCGATTTCAAGCTCTTCGATGATTCCTGATATTCTATGAGAAAACTTGAAGCCAGATAGACGTCATTTTCTAGGAGCATTTAGAACTGAAATGTTGTTTCCTTCATTTATTGATGACAGATTCAAATCGTCAAGCTCTTTTTCTAATTCTGATTCTGAGTCGTTCAACATATTATTGATTTCCATTTGATTGAGCTTGGTTTTTCTTAAAGTGATATATAGAATGAAATTGATGAAGCATAAACTATGTGCTCTTAATCCACCTGAATGTATTTCTGTATCAATCTCCTTCTTCATAACAATCTACGGGCTATATATAGAGCGATGATAAGAGGATGAAAATCTATAAAACTTACAGAAAGAAAAGAAAACTCAATCGCACATGCATAATGATAGAATGGAAAAATTCATGACGCATGAATGACAATAAGAGATAAGATGCAGCTCATAACACGAACATGTTAAAAAAAACCATCTGTAACGTTTGCTTCGAAGAGACGCGGAAAAATCCGAAATGTCACGCGTCAAATTGCGTGAAATTTCAATGACGTTTTAAAGTGTTATTGTCCCTGAAAGGTTTAATCATCAAATAATATATTATTCTATTTCTTTTACTCTATGAGAAATTAAATATAACCTGTCATACTAGTCAAATTTGAAGTTCAGTCACATAACGAATAATTATTGACAATAGCATTTTTTCTTGTAAGACAGCTGCAAACATTTGTCTGATAAAATACTAGAATACTCATATCCTGATTTATGAAAAAATAATTACTTTTTATTATCGCGTTTCTTTTTGTAACGTTTCACATTGATCGACTATTCAAGATTGTTCATAAATGATAATTTAGTGCTTATTCTAATACAAAAAAAGAGAATTTTTTATTACTTCTACGTGAAAAAGTGTGTCTAGGTAATAAAATATATTAATGGCTTTTGTTAATTGATTAGCTATTACTTTGTACTAACATAAAGACAAGTGAACATTTTATACATTTAGCAAATTTTACTGTATTGATTTCTAAATCGACATAAATTGTATGTGATCATTCTACTATATATTATCTTTAATTTTGATTTTGTCAATATTACTTTCTCAAGATTTGTTATACGAAATATGCCTTAAAACTTTGACATATTCTGCATCATCAAAACATACATGTCTTGGACAATTATTTCCACAACAACATCAAATACTTCTAGATTTATTGATGCATTAATAATAAATGCCATAAGTAACAGTTAATCATTGTCTTCCGAGATTTACATTTGACATCATATAATATTACTAGCATAAGCTAGAAATAGTTGTGAAAACATAAACACAACAAATTAAATATAGTTTGACATTGTGTTCATTTTTAGAGGAAAAATGATTGATGCACTTTTCAAAGTATATATTAATAAGACATCACAATTAATTATAGAGAGGTGTTGTTGTAATATTTGCGTGTTTAACTAAACCATCGCATGTTAATACGATGTCTAGCTTTACTAACCGGTAAAAAGTCGAATGTTAGAGGTCAAATATCATGTCAAAATCGAGAGGTTATAGTTGATAATTACTAACAAACATTTGATTAAATATAAGTTTTAATTAGAAGTCGATTAAAAATTCAAAATCAGTATATTTATAATTACTCAAAAATCTTATTTTCTCGTAAACATAGAAAACAAGATGTTTTCTTGTATAAAATCTAACTTGAAATCATTGGAATAGAAAATCTATTTTATTTCATAGAAATTTTCTATAGCTTAACTAATAATCGATAATTAAAACATAATAATCTGTTCATAATCAAATTCTATTTTTTATGAATATACTGTTTTTCAATAAATCGTAGTTTGTTTTAATATGAATAAATCAATCATTGTGGCATCTATGACAATTTGAGGGTATTTTTCATAATAAAATAGATGAACGCTAGTAACTAGCGTTCAATAAGATACAAATCAGTTAATATGAAAATAATCTATTTCTATGAGATACATATCTAATCTCTAATTCTTTTTTGAAATAGAAAATTGATGATGATTAAAATCAAGATAAAATTTTAAACGATAATGAAACTTACTAAAAAAAAACTTCATCAATATGACTCGATAGTGTTCGAAGAAATATTACCTAAGTATAAAAACTATTGAATAAAGAAAACGTATGCATACATGATGAGAAATAAACAATTAATGATCGAATGACAAAGTTAAAAGAATAAAATATGATAGCTGCATTAATTGAAAACTGATTGTCAGTGCTTCTCTTTTTTTTGTTGAGATGATATTGTCAATTATAACTAGATGAACTATTTAATTGTGTAGTAATACTATATAAATAATTCCTTTGATTCGTTTCTAAGTTAAATATCTTTTTTTGGAAACTAATTCTCTAGTATATTAATATCTATTTAAATGTCAATCTGTGTTAATTTTATTTATTTATATCAATAAAAAATTATGATGAAAAAAGGGAGTAGACGACATATCAATCAAACCAATATAATTGGAGTTTTACCATTCTTTTCTTGTCAGAACTACAATTCGCATGTCGAACGGAAACGTTGAAGAGCCCCTTTTTTTCTTTATAGTAAGTGGGCTGCTTGTCTATTCAATGGAAGATATGTAGCGCACGGTTTTAATCGCAATATGAAGGAAACACTTGTCATCTTCCTAGTTTTTCGCGTTTTTTTTTCTTTCAGTCTCTCCGTTGCTTTCTGTTTTCTTTTCTAGAGTTATTTTCTTTGAAAGAATGATCATTTATTCGGTTTGATGTGAACGATTGACGTCTCGAAGAATTATTATACGCTCGGTTTAGCGCATTTACCGAAGTTCATTGTGTTCTGTCGTTTGTCGCTTTTATTGAAAAAAAAGAAGAAAAAAGAAAATTAAACTAGTCATTTGCCCAATGATGAAGCGTTTACAACGTTACAGTAAGTAAAACTATTCTCTCTATAATTGATATAAATAAAATGTAAGACATACATTGTGTGTCAAAGAAATCAAAATACTTTTTATAGAAAAAATCAAAAGACATAAAAAGCTTTCCGTTATGAATGAATGAATGACGTATTAAAAAAAAGTCTTATGTAGTAAGTTATGATAAAGACTATTTTGAAGTAATGAGTCTGAGAAAAAATACTTGAGTCTTGCTCTTATTTCCTGTTATCTCCATTATTCCGTGCTTGACAATCTTGCGTGTACTTGTCGTGCGACTCCTCTCTTATGTCCGCTTTCTTAATACAATGAGAGACAAAGATTCTTTTTCTTCTCTTTCCCACTATTAATGATTCTCTCTTTCTCCATTCTCTGTTGTATTTACTTACTGGGTGTCAGAAAAGAGGATAAATCAAACAATAAAAGAAAACTCGTCGTCATCGACATCAACCAAAGCAGCAATCTATTTAACTACGACAAAACGATTTTCTATCATTAAAAAAGAAGAGAAGATTTTACCATCTACTTTTTGTAAGTTCTTTGAAAATCTTTCGTGGTCAATGCATATATATATATACAAATCAATATGTTATAGTAATTGATCATTGTAATAAAACTAATGACGGACTAAAAATACGAGTTTCAATTCATTCATTCTTCATACAGTTCAAGAAAGCATTATATATTAATGGAATCATTTGAACGTAAGTCTTTAAGTTGCCATGTAATTCTTGTATTTATAGCTTTCATCTTTTTCTTTGCTATATGTTGATGTGATTATTGTGTTAACAGTAATATATATATACCTTGAAAAATATATTCTAGTACTTAGTTAATGAGTATTAATAAAAGTAGAAAATACCATAAAAACAAATCTTGAGTTTATTAATAAAATATAAAGATATATTCTATGAATAAGAATATTAAGTTTTTAAGTATGATATATTGACATGATATAACTTGTCTTATATGTGAGAACCATAGGAGAAATAGAAAACAGCTGTTACTTAGATATATAATAGTGTAAAAGGGAAGATGAAGATCTCAGAAGAATAATAATATGAGGAAATAAAGAATAGATTGACAATAAGATTGCTTATTTATCTCATAGGAATTATAAAGATAATAATATTGACATAAAGTCTACCAGATATTAATATTATTTCTATAATAGAGAATGACGACGAATCAATATCAGTATTTCCAGCAGAAATTCGTAAAGTACCAAAAAGTTTAGAAGATATTGTACGAACAACAAAATTCAATAAATCGGAAATACGATTACTCTACAAAGGATTTAAACAGGTATGAAAAATACAAGTCTATACTACTTTTTTCTTGTATTTTTATCTATTTCATAGGAATGTCCACATGGTGCGGTAACTGAACGTGAATTTCAAACTATTTATTCACATTTTTTTCCTCATGGCAACTGCCAAAGTTATACAAGTTTTCTATTTCGTATTTTGGATAGACGAAAACGAATGTATTTCACATTTGAAGTAATTTTATAAATATAAACATAAGAGAAGAAAAAAAAAGCACATTCCAGGTCAAAAAAACGTTTCTCTGTTATTTATCAATGAGCTTTTAATAGGAGCGAAAAATAACATATATATATTTGCATAGCATTAACTAATTAATTCTAAATATTAATAAATATGAATAATTCTTCTATTTTATTTAGGATTATATTCAAACATTATCAGTTTTGATACGTGGTAGTATGAAAGAAAAACTTCAATGGGTCTTTCGTTTCTATGATATATCGGATGATGGCAGATTAACGAAACAAGTATAAAATTTAATTATTTATTTATTATATTTTATGTCTATCTTATGTACTTATTAGACAATTGAGAAAATGCTTCGTTCGCTATATGATCTTCTCGGATCGAATAATAACATTCATCAACCTGTTAGTGATGATACAGTTGAAAAACATTCTGCTATTGTATTTGAAGTAAATCTTTTATTTATTTATCATTTAATATTTTGTTTTATTCTATCAGAAACTTGATTGTCAACGGACTGGAAGTATTAATTTTGATGACTTTGAAAAATATTGTCTACGTGTATGTATATTACTATGTGAAATATTACTAATTTTTATTATATCTAGGATGAACAGTTAATAAATACAATTAATTTACTCTCATCAACTGCCATTTGATTGATCAAACCATCATTGTGTGATTTTTCTCTCTCTTTTTTTTTCTTCTGTAAACTAATTATCATCTAATTTTAAAAATATAATGAAATATTCATAGAGGATGATAATATGTATGTCAAAACTATTTTCGGTTCGTTTAGTATACTAATTACTATTTTCCTGTTTTGTTTTTTGGTTATATTAGAATGTAAAACTAATACATTTCAAGATTGCGTGCAGTACATTTGTGTATTATCACATATTCCTTAAAGATTTATTGAATTTATATATAAAAATATATGTATGTACTTGGCTAATCCATAAGGAAAAGACTAATTGTGTTAAAAACTTTTATCTAATATTCAATTGGCTTAAAAGATAATAAAGATAACTGTATTTGAATTTAGATAAAATTCATATAACAATAATGAATTACAAGTTAATAAGATCTTGTCTTGAATATTAAGAGACTTACGAGGGAACTTCCCTAGGTATCAAGAAGCTTTTCAGCTTAAATTTCTTCTACAGATAGGGGATACATAGACTAGAAAAAGCCTAAAAGGATATGTGCCCAAGTTGGTGTTTGCCTGAGATATCGACTGTTTATCGTATTTGTCCTATAGGGTCCTATCTGTGCGGTAAAATCAAAGTTTCGAATTTAGGTCTGAAATATTGTCCAATCTAAGGCCTCATTCAGGCAAGTATGTTAGCATAAAGACGCTTTCTTACGGGTATCAGGTTTCACATGAATATTTTGACGGATTCATATCTCGGAGACAGTCTTTCCGAACTTTGTGAGAAAGCTTGTCTGATTGAGGTCTTAGAGTGGACTAAGTTTCAGACCTAAATTCGAAACTTTGATTTTACCGCACAGATAGGGACCTATACGACAAATACAATAAATAGTCGATATCTCAGACAAACACCAACTTGAGCACATATCCTTTTAAGCTTTTTCTAGTCTATGTATCTCCTACTTGTAGAAGAAATTTCAGTTCCAAAGCTTCTTGATACCTCGGGAAGTTTCCTTGTTAGTTGTTGGACTCATAACTAAAAATGAGCATCTCTGTTAGTATCATTGTATTTTAAAACTATCATCATATTAAAGACAAAATATTCTCTCAATTGATTCTATGAAAATTAACTAGAACAATGCGCATAGATCCATTTGACTTCGCATGCATCTATTTGTTGAAAATTAGAAAACATGACTTTGATCAATAAATGTATTGAACATCTTGGATGGAAAAAAATCATTTCAGATTCTGATCAGGTTTTCATATTTTTATTGTCATACGTTTATATTTATGAAGAAAGTCTTTTCTAATAGTTAATATATACACTTGAGACATTTTTATTTCGATCATAATTTAAAAAAATATTCATTTCCACGACATAGTGGTGTTTCTACATCTTGTTTTATTTAGGATATACAATAAGAACAAAAAACTTGATATGATTTGACAATAAAAAAACAACAACAACAGCAACATTAGTTGAATTCAATCGACCATTCCAAACACTTATAATGTCAATAATTTAATACCTCAATGCTGATTTATTTTTAGCAATAAATCTAAATAAGAAAAAGAAAATGATTTTAAAAAAAAATCATATTTAGTATTTTAAATAAAACATACTGATCAAGTGAATCCCAAAATGTTCGAATACGAGCGCAATCAAGATGACGTTTATTTTGATCTAATTCAATTAAATGTACTGACCATTTAGCTATATTTGTGTCCGTTTTTAATTGTGCCCATTTAATATGATATGCTTTAACTAATAAAAAGGAAAATTTTCTTTTATTTATTTTCTTAAGAAATTTTCTGTTTACTTTTTTGAAAAACTTCAACTGGATTTCCTCCCATAGGCCATCCTTTAAATTGCCAAGCAGGACCTTGTGCAAATACAGCTACAACACGTTCATCCCTATATAAACAAATCTTTAAGTTTTTTTAATCGATTATTTTTATAAAAATTCTAACCAATCTTGTTTTGACAAACGTAGAGGATCATCCGTTATTCTATATGGTACTGTTAAATTTCCTTTTTTACGTTGTATTAATATATCTCCATCACGTTTAGTACCACTTGCTTTACCATCTTCTGTTGAAATATATCTAAAGATAGAAATTCTAATAAAGAATATTCGCAAAGATTTTAATACAATATACTTTAAATCTTCAAGTAATTCTTTACAATTATATCTTGTTATTAATGATGTCAATGCTGCTGGAATAATAATAATTGGTGTACGTGATGGACGTTTCGATGTATCAGTACTTGTTGGATGTAATTTATCATTTGCAGCAACAATAGGTTTAGGTATGGAAGGATTTGCTGCTGACTTGATGAGAAAAAAAAGATATTTAATAGGAAATTGAAAAGGAAATTAATTTTACCAAGAATTTATTTGGTGTTGCACCTTCAGTTACTGTTTTTAATGTTAGACCATGATATGAAGCGTGAGTATCAATTTTAAATTCTGATTCATCTCTAGGTACGAATTTTTCTTGATTATATCGAGAATAACCTTCAACAGGTGCGCGTGTTGTTATCTAAAACGAAGACGAAAAGAAATGAAAACTTAATTATTTAAATAGGAATATTTTACATCACGAATAGGTGAACGTTGTGCTGCAAGTTGTTCTTGTTTTTGTTCACTTTCTTCTTTCGCTTTAATTGAATTTAAGATTGAAAGAATATCTTTTGCAAAATTCTAATTTTATGAAAAAAAAATCAATTAAAAGAAACGAAAGCTTAGATTTATTTATACTTTATTAGAACTTTGTAAAACAGTTGTACGATTTCTCCATGTTCTTTCACGTTTCATAATTTCAAATGTATCAGCTGTAATTGGTAATGGTTCTGTACTTGGTTCTGGTGTATCTTCATTTTCTTTAAAATCAACAATTTTATCACGAGTTGTTGCACGAAATTTCGCTCGTAGTTTAAGAATAGCTTCAGTAGATAATTCACCGGATAATGGACGAATTTGATCAGCGCCAAGTTCTTTATTTTTTTCATCAAATTTTTTTTCACGACGATCTTTTAATTTTTGCATATCATCATCTTCAACTCGAGCAAATTTAGGAGCATCCAAACGAGGATCTTCTGCTGGTCGTTTGTTGACTGAAAATAGAGATATTAATTAAAGAAAAAAATAACAACAATATTTCAATTATAGTGTCCCTATTAACCCTTTCACTTCCGAATTATTTTTTATTGGATTGAATTCAAGTAAATCGTTGGATTAGCTTCTTCTAGACATAAGAGTATATGTTAGACATATCTCATGTGTTCTCACAGGTGATTAGTTGGTTTGCGCAATATAAGTTACATTGAACTCTGTTAGACTGAACGAAAAATTTTAACTGTTGAAGTTTATTAATTGCAAACTTATAGTGTTTTCATGAAATAACAAAAAAAATTTTTTATGCTGTTTTACACATGAAGAAATACCACAAAAACTGCATTTTATGTTACTAAATATCGGACGAGCTTTAGTACTGCAATATCCACACCTTCCTTTAGGTCCAGCAACAGGCATATGTGCTACTTTTTATGAATTATATTATGAAAAATATAAAACAAACAGGTGTAGCTTTTTTTTATACCGGGGAAGTCAAAGGGTTAATCCTCTTTTAACATGAATATTTCTCCTCAATATCAGTATGAAATGTACATATTATGAGTTACTAGAATTTCGAAATTCACGTTTACTTATGTGTAGTTATCATAAACTCTCTTGTAAGATTTCCTCTCCTACTATAATAATAAATGATGACACTTGATCTTCTATAAACTATTTGATAAAAATGCTATGATAGTCATGAATTTTTTTCATTAGAAAGGTTAGAAAAAAAAAGTTCTGATAGTTATGCAGTTTCAAACTGATGTTTTTATTAGGCTCAGCTCCGTAGCTTTCTAGAGTTGATAAATACAAATGTTACTATTTAAATGTAATGCATTACTTCTCAAATAATTTTAATTCACTAAGAATTCTTTCATTTTTTAGATTATCTGCATAACTATTGAGAAAAAAGAAACTACTTGGAACTAAATAATATAACGATCTATTTCTAATCTTAATTCTTATTCGAACAATCTGCAGATGAATGATTCATTTCAATACAATCAAACGATTGACTATTATAAATTATTATTATCTCATACTAGGTTTTTACTCTTTGTTTCAATAATTGATCTAAAACTTACTTTGCAATGGTCGTTGCATAGTAATATCCAACGGAGCATTTTTATCAACTCGATCAGCTGTAGCTGTTTGTCCTTGTAAATAGGATAGGAGATCTTTACGATCTGGACGACTGATAGCTGGAATACCTTTCTCCTATTATAATAAAAAGAAAAGCTATGAATTGTTTCATAATTCTTATTAAAATACATACAGCTGCTTTTTTGACATAATTTGCATGTTGTAATTCAACATTTTTTAAAAGAAAAACAATACTTTCGAGTGTATAATAATCTTTTGATGTATTATCTTTCCCAGTACTAAAAAGAAAATATTTATAATTTATTTTAAATAGGAAAAAACAAACAAACCCATAAACAAGATAATTTGTTTTAACATCTTTTGGATATGCAAGATCATTGAAAACAAATCGATCATTTTCAGTTGTATATTCTCGATTTTCAATAGTAAATTGTCGAAGAAGACTAAGTGCATCAGCCATTTTTTAATATCTATTCAAATGAGATTTCTATATGTTAACTTTTATAATTATTGGCAAAAAAAAAATGAAATAAACAGACATCATTTTCTCTATTGGTCTATTTTAAATATCCAATGAATGATAAGTAGAAGCGCTACATTCGTCGTTAAAATTGAACCATTGAGCATCTATTGTTATTGTTATGATAGTTGGATATATTTTAACATTTGTTTTTTTAATTAACTGATAAAAAAATAGTTTCTTTATTATAAATTTCTTGAAAATATTCTTTTGAATTTTTTTCTTAATATTATAGGTTTATTTGAACATTATTGAACGTAC